CGGCTTCCCAGTAGGCCCCCTCATTCCCCAGCCCTCTTGTGTCCCCTGGAAAAGATCTGCTCGCTGGAGGAGAGAGCCAGCAGACAGGTCTGAGCCGGCCCGCTCGCTCTTCAGCAGACAGAAGAGGAACAGGCTGGGGGAAGGGGTCTGAGATATTGGTGGGGAGTGGTGGTTGGAACCCCCATGTCTCCTCTGGGAAGCCAGGGCCAGAGGGGTTAATGCCTGGGCATACCCTACCGTAGTCTAAGGCCCAGTCTTGTGCCTGCCTTGGCTGGTCTGCTGCCATGTGGACAGCCAGGGGTCTGAGCCCCCAGGTGCGAGGATGGTGCCTACCCACCTCTTCCCAAGGAGCCAACATCAGCTCCCTGCTTCCCCTCCCCTGGGCTGGGCAGGTTCAGGCCAATCTGCACAAGAGCTTCATAGCAAACATTGATCTGTAATAAAACCACAATGTGTGTTCAGGAGAAGGGATTCCAGACACAGAGGGATCCAGACAACATACACACACACACACACACACACACACACACAGATCCAAAACGTATAGCTCTGGGAGGACATACACCAGCAGTCCGGAACATACAACTAAACACGGACCCACACTGTGTCACACACGCAAGCATTATCACTTCCACACGTTCCCCCCTGCCGTAAACTTTGTTCTGCAGAACCCAAGCCTTCTCTGATAGCTCTTTTCCCAGTGTTCCCACAGCACTTTGTAGGTAGCTGCAGAACAGCATTCTCATTTGACATTATAATTACTTGTTGGCCAGTCTGTCTCCTACGGTATTCTGTAGATTTCTTAAGGTAAATGTTCTTGTCTTATGTAACTGTGTATCCCCAGCGTCAAGCCTGCAGCCTGGTATTTAGTTAGTAGGTAAGGTACTTAATAAATGATGGCTGAATAAATGAACAAGAGAATAAATGAATTCTGACAGTGGGACACCCATTCCCAGAATCGCTCAGAAGCACACAAGATAACCAGTGCATGCTACCCATGCTTCTGATCTTGTCTTCCTGCCTCCTGGGCCCCTGACCTTACTGCTTCTCAGTTTCCTCAAAGGCCCTTCTTTCTCCCTCTTGCCTCAGTCTGGAACCATGAATCTGAGTTCCACCTGAGGGCTGACAGGCGAGGTAAGGGTTAATGACACCTCATTAGTGCTTAATTGGAGGAAGGAAGCTGCCCAGGCATCAGACAGGTGGGCAGGCCTGCCCCTTGCTGGAACCAAGCAGTCCTAGCTCCAGCACCCTGCAGGGTGTGTGGTGATTTGGCCCTGGAGACCCTCAACCCAGCCAGGGCACCTCCCCCCACCATTTGCTTTGCCAATTTAATCTCCCGGAAGTAGAGACCGGCCCTCCCCATCTGTCACCTAACATCCTGAAGGACAGGCCAACTCCTTACCCTTTCTCCTTTAGCCAGGCTTTGCCCCCTCCCATCCCCAGGAGACACTGGAGGCTGGAGAGAGGGGTGGGGAGAGGGGTGGGCTATGGAGCTGGGCAACTGGGGGATAGATTAGTGAGTCAACAAGGGATGAATTAGGGATCCAGACAGTGATAAGGCTGGGGATGTGATGTCTGCCCAATTTGACCTTAAATGAAGAGAATGCAAGTAAGATGCAGAAGATATGCAGATGAACACGAGGATTTCAGAACTGACTTTCCTGGTAGCAGCAGCGCCTCACCTAAGACCCCAATGCTGTCTCCAACACCCTTTCCCCCACACCCGGGTTAAGTGGTGCTGACCACTCTTTTGAGTAAGAAAAAGGATGTCAAGAAAGCTAAGAGCGGGCTTGGGCTAGGGCTGCAGGACCTTGGAAGCTGAGCTCCAGCCCAGCCTCCCCGCCCCCACCCCAAGCACCCACTCAAGCTGCCACAGCAGCACAAGCGACCACTCTCTAGGTTACGGGTCGGACGCACACTCGGTTGCTATGGGGACTCCCTCCCGAACAGGTCTGAATCAATGGGCTTCACTGCTGATGAACTCATGCCCCAGGCCCCGGGATTCTATTGGCTATTTGGAAGCTAGCGTGCACCCTGCTAAAGTGCGTCACCGCTGGGGATCCCCCGAAGACCCCAGCTGGAGTGGCCGACTGAAAGACAGGAGCTCACAATTTGCTGAATGAATGAATAAGGGAAGGAAAGAAGGAATTAATGAAAGGGAACTACGGAAGGAGGAGGTCATGGTGCGGGGTGGGGGGCGAGAAAAAAAAGACCAAAATTTAAGGGTTTAGCCTCGAGGGAAGGAGGATGATTTGCAGCCCCGGAAAGTGTAGAGCAGGATCCCGGTCCCAGACTCAGACTGTCGGGACAGGGAGATGGGGCGAGGCAAAGATGAGGGAAGCTTTCGTATCTGTTCCGGAGAGACTGGGCCAGGCCCAACAAATTGAGGGCACCACCCTCGACTGTCAACCGCCGCTGAGTTTAGGGGAGATCGGTGACGCTTCAAAACTTGCTGGCCTGCCTAGCCTCCTGGAACCGCACCCCGGAACACGCCTCGATGACTTCTCGTGGGCCAGGCCCGGTGCCCGGGAGACCGCCCAGCGCCTTCAGCCCGTCTCGGCCCTATGAGCCGACTCGGCCCTCGCTCTCCATGGGGACGCGCCCCGGGACTGAATTAGTCACCTGCGCAAGGCCCAGGCTGCGAGGAAAGCGCGCGTCGGGAGGAGACAGGCTTGGTGTGAGCGGCTGCGGCCGGCGGGCCTGCGTTTGCGACCCGCCAGCCCAGCTCCTCGCGCATGTGCGCGGCCGCCGAGGTGTCCGCCCTCGCACCCGCAGGGAACTGGGCGGTCGGCGAGGGCGTGTGTCTGTGTCAAGTGTGTGCGTCTGAGTGAGGGCGTGTGTCTGCGTGCGGGGAAAGCCGACTG